CCCCGACGGATCTGGCCATGACATTCAAGCTTATGCACCGCAAACCTTGGCTGAAGCCAACGCCTACAGCCGAAGACATTCAGGCTCGGCGAGCCAAAAAGCGAGAAGATCATCGTAGCCCCGCTACGGAACTGGTTGACCTCGAGCACCTCCCACGTGTGAGCGCAAGCAACATCATCTACCCAAAGAGGGCCAAACGGTGAGCCTCTGGAGATGTCCAACCAACATGTCCACCCCCACGTTTGACATGCTTTGCTCGCTTTTTCTCTCTTGTCTTCCAGAACGCCTACGTGCGTGCATGTGCTTGTACCCGTACGTATGTGTGATTACATGCAGAGAGTGCCGATAGCCCAACTCTCACTCCGTGTGGGCACTGGTGGGAATATCTATCAGGTGAAGATCCATTTAGCGGTGCAAATGCCCCATCACGCTGGAATACGAGACGGCAATAGGTTTCAAGTCGCGCCGCATGTGTGAATGTGTATTGAGCTTACATACACGATTATATGCTTGTAAGTGCTTGCGTGTGTACGTGTATATATGTGCGGTTCTGCGCCCGGAGCGTCCGCTGCGTCGTGGTTGTGACACCTGTTGTTGTTGTTGTTGTTGTTGCTGCTGCTGCTGCTGTTGTTGTTGTTGTTCTTGTTGTTCTTGTTGTTCTTGTTGTTGTTGTTGTTGTTGTTGTTCTCGTTCTTGTTGTTCTTGTTGTTCGCGTTCTTGTTGTTCTTGTTGTTCTTGTTCTTGTGGCACCCGTTGTTGTGGCACCCGGTGTTGTTGTTGCACGAGTAAACCGACGAAACGACGAACATGATCCACGCAATATCAAGGACGCGCACACAGGGATGCTGCACATGTCACTCGACGCGTGTGTGTCTCGCACCAGCGGCGACGTTTTACCGCTTGTGGGACAGAGGGGTGGCGACGTTTCGCCGCGAATCGCAGCAGCGGCGACGTTTTACCGCTTGTGGGACAGAGGGGTGGCGACGTTTCGCCGCGAATCGCAGCAGCGGCGACGTTTTACCGGGAACGCCCCCTTGGCGACCTTTTGCCAAAGGCCGGCGACTTTTTTCATTTACTCTCTCCCCTCCACTACCACAACCATCCTCACCGTGCCTTCCTCCCACACACTCACCACACCGCCCAGGCCTTTCACCAGTGCTGGCCGTGTCCGGGTCGTAAGGTGTGTGAAGTATGCTGTGTCGGAAAAAATGTGTACTGAAGACTGCGAGTCCACACCAATTCCGTATGGCGGTGGGCGTTGTTGTTGTGGTTGAATGTTGTACATCACTGGGCCATTGGCGGGTTGTAGTCTCTGTTTGACGTGCCTCCAAGTCCCCTGGGTCCGCTGTCCTTGCTTGGCCGGCCGATTTGGTTTCATCTGCTTGTTGTGGGGGTTGTCGTAGCAGTTGTCCTCGTGGTGATACACATATCGGCGGCACCACTTGCACATGGTTTTCGCCCTCTTGGGCCGCTGGGGTGATTTGCCGATGTAGAGTACTTGTTCGGCTTCCTCCCCCCTGATCTCCCCTAGCTTCGGGTTGCTGGAGAGGATCTGCTTCGTCATCTCTTGTACCGATGCTGGTGGCGTCTTGATCTCGTTACCAAAGGCTTTTGGCTTCGTCATGTGAAAGTTGGCAAAAGCAATCGCTGTGGCCACCTTCCCCCAGGTCACTGTCTCCTCCTTGTCGTACACAGAGTAGAACTTGTCGCGTGCGTCGTAGAGTCTCTTCGCATACTCGTCTTCACTGTCTCCTGGCATCATCTTGGTGTCATTGAAGAAGTCTACGAGATGGCTCGTCTTCTGCACTTCGTTCTCTGGTCTCTGGTAGTAATCAAGGAGAGTCCTCCATGCTGATGCCGCATCTTCTTCACCCAGTGCTCCAGTCGCTGCTGTTGTCCCTTTACATCCCTCTAGAGCCGAGGTGATGCACAGGTACGCAAACTGTTCTTGCTCCTTGGTAACCTCCTTCCCCTCGAGCACTCTCTCTGCGCCTGGGCAATTCTTCATGAGGAAGTAGCTCATTCTCACCTTGAACACTCTCAGTGACGACACTTTGCCGTCAAAGACCGGCCCTTGCGGTATGTCATGTCGCACCTGGTCCATGGCTGTGGAAGGTGCTGTCTGGGTGCTGTCGCTGCTCACACCACAGACCTCATGGGTCTCATAATCTCTTAGCTGCTCACTCCCTTGGCGTTGGTGCTGAGGTTGTATTGGTACGAGAATACTCCAGATGACATGCAATGTACATGCAATAAGTCTAAAGCAAGAGAACAAAGGATGTAGGTCGTGACGTCATACGTACGTCACATCACCAGAATGAACGGACCAACACCAACAGTTACACACTGCAGCTCTTCGTCTGTGTTCCTTCTTGTGCATAAGCAATCCACGACGTGTTTTTCAAGCCCATACAATACGAGCAGATTTGGTTGTTGGTTGTGGCGGACTTGAGAGGAGACGAATTACGCCTCATGCTGTGAGCATGTGGCTGCTCTGACTGGTGGTCTTGAAGGCGTGTCGTGTCCTGCACAGCGCGTTGGTCCGTTTCACAGCAGGCGTTTTGACCGTGTGAGAAAAACGCACACCCAGACTGGCGTTGCACAGGTTGTACACAATCATTGAAGTTGTGAGAGTGATGCCTGCAGGCAACGGCGTTGAAACTCATGCTGTTGGTGCACGTTTATGATGCTCAACCAAGAGTCACAACTGGACCAAATGAACAACAACACCAAGGCACAAACACAGACAGGCACCAACAAGGACAGACGCGAACAAGCAAACAGCCAACACAAACAAACATGCAAACAAGCAAACAAACAATACAAAGCACTAGCGTAGGAGGGGGGGGGTTGGGTTGGCACGGCCCATGATTGGTGTTGATTATTCGGCAGCGGCAGCGCCTTGTTCGTACTCCTCCATCTGGCGCTCATACTCTTCCCACACCTCCGGGTCCGCTGACGCAATCATGTACATGATCCCGCCAACAACCAGCAGCATCTTGATCGTCTTGCGCACATCCTGCACCGTGTGTATGTGTGTGTGTGTGTGTGTGTGAAAGAGAGTGAGTGTGAGAGTCAACGTTAGTGTGCGTGTGTGAATGTGGTGAGACGACGCAAGGAAAAGTGTGTGGCTGTGTGGGTTGTGTGATACAAGCAAGGCAGTCATATGTCACACTCGCATCTTTCCCGCAAACCCACCTCTTTTGTGATTGACTTGAAACCAGCAAAGAGGATCGTTGGGGCAAAGATGAGGTGCATCAGCCGATCCCACACGATGGTGCCGACAACATTTCCAATCAGCACAAACGACAGCGTTTTCCTAAAGCCCTCAGATGGGTACTCGACCAGCTGCAGCCTGCATGATTGTATAGTTGCACATGCGTGAACATATGTGTGCGAGTCCGAGTGTGCATGTGCATGTATGTGTGTGTGTGTGTGTGCGTGCGAGTGTGCGAGAGAGATAGAGAGAGCGAGAGAGTGTGTGTGTTTGTGTGTTTGTGTGTTTGTGTGTTTGTTCGTTTGTGTGTTTGTTTGTTTGTGTGTTTGTTTGTTTGTTTGTGTGTGTGTGTGCAGACGCAAGTCGTGACATGAAAATAACATCAATCCCATTGACACAGCCACAGCCTCAAATGCCACTGTGAGCAAACACGTACAGCTTGTTGAACTCTGGGAAGAAGTTCGAAGCGCAGAGGAAGGCGCCGGCACCGCAAAACGCGAGCGAATAGAGCAAGAAGCTGTTCTTGGTGATGGAGGTCATGAAGGGCTGGCCTTTGTAGTTCACCACAAACACAGACACCTGTGGTGGTGGGTGGCAGTCGAACACAACCCACACGCGTGCAGGTTTGCAGAGAAGGAAGAGGAGGGGATGTGGAGCGTTATTGCACCAAGTGAGGTGAGCAAAGAGGTCATGCGTTCACACCATGGTGAAATATCAAATTGCAGCAATGACATTCAGGCTTGCTCGTCCCTCGATCTCGGCCACTTTCACGTACATTCCCGCATGCGACATGACACACTGTTGCACGCTTGCATCACCCGCACCTGCTGCACGCATTCTGCGAGAAAGACGACGCTATTGATCAGGTTTGGCTCAAACTTCCCTGTGATGCTCGGCTGGCGAGATGGATTGACGCACACATAATATGCGCGTGAGCTTGTGATTGACAGCGTGGCGGTTGAATGGCTGCTGCGACACTGCGAGACAGACAGGTATACAGACACACAGACACGCATAGACACACACACAGACAGACAGACAGACAGACACGCACAAACACGCACAAACACACGCACAAACACACAAAGACACGCACAAACACACACAAACACACACAGACGCATACACAGACACACACACGCACAGACACACACACACACACACACACACACACAGGCAGGCACCATGTGTTTGAATGCTCACCTCCCAGTTGTCCGGCAGGTGGGGCTTTGCCATGCTCACAACATACATCATGCAACCAAGATGGATGGCAAACTGGCCCAGGAGGCTCAGGAACAGAGCCTGTGTTTTGGTGACAGATTTGCATCGTGAGAACATGGCAGAAAGACAGGCACATTCAACAGCGACACGCAGGCGTGGTGACGAATGTGCGGACGTGCAAGTGACGTGAACGTTGCCTGCAAGCAGTTCCTACCGGATGGAAGATGCTCTCAATCGGGCGAACTGAGGACAGCTGCAGCGACAAGATGGAGGAGTGAATAAGTGAGTGCGTGTGTGTGTGTGAGTGAGTGAGTGTGTGTGTGTGTGTGTGTGAAGGAGCGAAAGGTGTGCGTATGTATTCGCTTGGGAGCGTGTCTGTATTCGCTTGGGAGCGTGTCTGTATCCGCTTGGGAGCGTGTCTGTATCCGCTTGGGAGCGTGTATGCATTTGCTTGTGCGCCTGTCTGTGGGCCATGCACGTTGGTACCAGTTTCACCTTCTTGAGTGGCGATGCGCGACTGATGGAGAGGAACGAGACTGTGAGCAGCAGCCCACGCGCCGTCATCTGCCGGTCGCCCGATTTCACGCCGTCCTGACAACACCACGATACATAGAGGTAGCAGGGTGTGCGCGTAAGTATGCGTGTGTGTATACGTGTGTGTGCGTGTGTGTGCGCGTGCGTGTGTGTGCGTGCGTGTGTCTGTGTGTGTGTGTGTGTGTGTGTGCGTGTGTCTGTGTCTGTGTCTGTGTCTGCGTATGTGTGTGCGCACACGTCTGCTCGCGTCCGATACGGTGTGCTCACCAAGTACAGGGCCGAGAGAGAGTATGATGAGATGAGGCAGTTGAGGGCTAGGATCTGGTACATCTGCAGCGTCGTCACCAGCGTGCAGCGACCCTGGCATGCATTGAAGCGAGGCAAAGGGCGATTTGTGTGTGTGTGTGTGTGCGTGTGTGTGTGTGTGTGTGTGTGTGTGTGTGTGTGTGTGTGTGTGTGTGTGTGTGTGTGTGTGTGTGGTGTGTGTGTGTGTGTGTGCGTCGTGTTCGTGTGACGCGTGACGCGTGAAACGTGCTGATGAGTGCTCAGGACATCACCAACGAAGCAAAGGATAAGCAATAATGCAGCCAGGACACACGGGCAGACGCCAACACAAACACACACACACACACATTCCCACGCGTGTTAAAGACAGTCCACCTCGCATGCCATCATGAGGGTGAACCAACCTGGCGGATGATATCAAGGGTTGACTCGATGGAGGGCCGTTTGGATGTGAAGGGCGCAGCAATCGACGCATCGCATTCACGTACATGCACACAAACGCACGCACAGATACACACACAGACACACACACACACGCGCGCGCGCACGCGCCGGAACATATGCACGCAAGTTACAAGCACGTGCAAGCGTGCACCTGCAGCATCAGCATTGCTCTTCTTGTCGCCCTGCGTGAGCTCGTCACGCTTGACATTCGCATTTCCAAAGCCAGAGAGGAGAGCAACGCCCACGTGCGCCTGCTTCAGCGCCCCGACGTCGTTCGCACCGTCGCCGCACATGAGTGTGTGGTGCTTCGTGTCCTTCAGTGCCATCATCAGCTGTGAAGGTGGAGGCAGAAGGGAGAAAGCAGGTGGTTGTTTGGAGGAGAGAGATGAACATGTGAGCCCAGTACAAGAGGAGGAGGTGGTGGTGCCAATAGCGCGCACATGTGCACGTCAAGCATGCGACGAGGTATTCTGTGTGTGAATGTGTGCATGTGTGTGCGTGTGTGTGTGCGTGTGTGTGCATGTGTGTGCATGTGTGCATGTGTGTGAATGTGAATATGAATGCATGTGTGAATGTGTGTGTGTGTGTGCGAAATTGTGTGCGATATGGGACACCTTTTCCTTCTGGTCCGGGGTCATGCGTGCGTACACGCGGACGCTGCTTGCCTGCTTCCACACGAGCTCGCTGGTCTCGGCAGCCTCCATCCACATCTGGGTGTGGTGATGTGTCACGGGAGAGCAAGCGTTCAAGATTAAGTCAATGGTTGCGGACAGAATGATTGGTGATAGGATGATCGCCAATAGGATGAGTGCTGATAGGATGATTGCCTACGGGGTACACACACACACACACAGACACACACGCAGACACACACACACACAGACACACACACACACAGACACACACACAGACACACAGACACACAGACACACACACACACACACACACACACAAACGCACCGGCCCTGTGACGCAGAGGTCGTATGATGCTGCGAGATCGGTGATGGTCTTTGCATCAAAGGACGACACGACGGCGTCTGTGTCAGCGGAGCGCCACACCAGCGATGACCCGTCCTTGTCTGATGTGCAGTGGCAGCATTGCATTGTGCCGTGCGGTGGTGGGGGACGTTGAGGTTGCGATAAGTGTGTGCATTGGTGTGGTGGTGGTGATGGTGGTGTGTGTAACTAGTTACAATCGCGCGCACACACCCACACCCACACCCGCACACTCACACCCACACCCACACCCACACACCCACACCCACACCCACACACCCACACCCACACACCCACACCCACACCCACACTCACACACTGCCATCGCCACTGCTGTTGGTTGATGCTGCTTCTCACCGAGGAGGAGGAGCTTGCTCTTGTCCGTTCGGGTGATGGCCACCTCCGTCGCCACGTGGATCGCTGCACAACCAGATGAGAGGGCGTGTGTGTGTTGGGGGGGGGGGGGGGGGATGATATTGCTGAGGAATGTGGGTACAATATCACTCGCACGCTTCCACCACCTTGATCACGTGTCGCAGGCCTACACCTCTTGTTCGAACCTCTTGGCACGACTACACACACACACACACACACACGCACACACACACACACACACACAACCGCACACGCCCATACACACGTATATCGCCGTCGCTCTCACGTGCACCTGTGAGAGGGGCGGCTCCGGTCTCATGGGAAACCCGCTCCTCTCTGCTTCAGGTTCTTCCCCCGTCCTTGCTGTCTGCGCCCAAGAAGGAGCGGAAAGGCAAAAGCCACCAAACAGCACGTCCTTCTCGAGCGGA